TGGGCGGCCCTGGGCGAGGTCTGGCCCACTGTCCTCTGTACGGGAGAAGCCTCACCCGAGGCTGGGTCACAGGACAGCATGAGGTCTCTGGGCAAGAAAGGGGCTCGGTGCTCATAGCTGACAGCTCCTAGGGTCGGGAGCTATGACTGCACCTTCCAGATGTGACGTCACTTTAAGGAGTCAACAGGAAAATAACACGAGTTTTGGGGTCCTGGCTATCCAGCTAGCTGCATGATCTCAGGGGAGTTAACTTCCAAATTTTACTTATTTAGTTTTTAAAAGGGGTAGGTACTACCTGTTTCACATAAGAAAAATGCTAATATGCTGCCTGGCACCTGGCAGGTGATCAAAAGGGCAGATACAATTACTAGAACTTGCTAATTTTATCAGCAACCCAGAGCAGGTTTCCTCTCCTTGGCTGAACAGATGAGGACGTGGGCCCTCCCCACAGGGACGCCGGAAGCAGCAGAGCCAGGCCTTCTGACCCGGGGTTCCAGCCCACAACATGGCATCTTTGGTCCCAAAGTCGAATGCAGACAATTTCTGGATCATGTGCAAAAGGCTTTTATCTGCTATTAATAGAGTTTACAGAGAGTTGGCTATATTAAGGTTTCTAAGTTCAGTATAAATGGTCCAATCTAAGTTCAGTATAAATGGTCCAATAGTGGTAGCTGGAGGTGAGAAGGTTAAAAGGGGACCGTGTAGAAGAGCAGAAAGTCAGGGTGTGTTTATCCAAAGAGCATCGACTACGTCACATGAGCCTGGCTCTCTGGGACCAGATGCTGCCTGTGCCAGGTGGATCCCCCACCCGCCCCCTAGAACAGCACAGATGCTGCACACAAGAGAGTGCCTCCTGAGAAGGGGAGAGCTTGGGTGGAAAGTCCCTTTACAAGTCACCAGGCTAAGGGTGGAAAACGGGATGGGAGTGGAGGAGAAAGGGCTTCCTAACAGCTGAGCATGAGGAGTCCAGGGGTCAAAGAAGGATCCTGTAGTTGCACAAGGTCTCAGAGACGTGGCGTGGGTAACAGCGTGACAGCAGAAAGGGTGCTGGTCCCTGCAGGCGCCACCCGAATGGGGCTGGCGGTGCTGTGCACCCTGCCGTTCACTACCTCCACGTAATGAGGAGAAAAGGGAAGCAGAGAGGGCGAGGCGGGGTCCAAGGTGGCGCAGAGAGGGGACTGGTGGGAGGGACACCCACCCGCCGCACCTGGGCCCCTGTTGGCCTGCGCTCCTTCCCAGCCTCTCATGGGAAATGTGATGCGGTGGGACGACACACTGAGTGACCAGCACAGGAGCCGTGCAAGAAGTGGTTTTTCATAGTCGTGATGATAATAAAAATGATAAATAGGGTTTCAGAAAAGAGATAGATTCCTTAATTTAAAGAAAAAAAGCAGTATCTAAAACATTAGCTCATTTAGTTAGGCCCAGGGCCTGGGTGTAAATTCAACCTCAGATTTAGTGAGCTTTGGAGTTGAAAACACCATCAGGTGCCTGGTGCTCACCACCCGATGGCCGACAGCCCTCAGCCACCTCCTCCACACAGCCACCAGGGACGCCATCTGAAATGTCACCATCGTCATTCTCTAGCCCCAGGCTCCTTGTAAGAAAGCCTGCCGCAACTCTTTCACACAGCAGGGTGAGGTCAGCTGAGAGAAGGGACCTGAAAGCAGTGGGTGGGCTGGGCAGCACAAGCTGGGGTTCATTCAGAGCGTGGAACAACCCCCCAAAGACTGCTCAGGGCCAGGCTCTGACAGAAGACCCCTGGAGGTGAACACTCACAGGCTGCGGGGTGGACAGAAGGAGGCGGTCACTGAGGCGGGGAATGGAGGGGGCAGGCAGACCCAACTCCTCAGCATGACACAAGAGGCCCCCTGGATCCTGCTGCCCTCTCCGGTCTGCATGCTGCATTATCAGTCACAGGGAACGACTTAGGTCTCTGCTGCCTTCCAGGCTCTGGAACGAGCTTAGAACACTCTCTACCCCAGCCAGCAGTCACCATGGGAAAGCTCTTGTCTCAGTCCTCCCATGCTGCACTCTGAGTGCCCATCTCTGTGTGTGCCCCTCCCCTTAGACTGGGGCATCTCCAGGGCCCAGCACACAGGAGCAACAAAATGTATAGATCATTATGTTAACCAGGTAGCAAGGGCTGCAGTTCCTGGTGTCCCCTGGCTGCTTCACTGGTTGTTGCAGATGTTACGTAGACAGGTGTGCACACATCTATTGCAAGAGACACAGTTGCCTTCGAAACATGTCTACCCAGCCTTATGTGCTACATATGGGCCATTTTTATTACTATGGATGGTGTCAAATTAGGCTCACATTTTTTATAAAGTCTAAATATTGAGAAAATATTATTAAAATGCACAATGAAGTTATTAGCCAATTCAATCTTTGGTCTTTCCATCTGCTTGAATTCAGGTTTACAATAGCAAAAGTCTGTTATTCAACCCGTGCCAGATGTCATTACCAGATGAGAGAGAGAGAGAGAGTCTGTAATATTAACTCTCTTTAATAGAATTTGCTTATAGGGACAGTCTCTCATAAACTTCCAATCAGTAATCCAGGAGACAGATGTGCCTGGTACATGGTAGGCATTCAATAAATATTTGCTACATGAATTATTAAGCAAATACAGAAAATAGGGAAGTCAACCTCTTAATGGAGTCAAGCGTAAAAGGAGAGAAACCTGAAGACATTTTCAGTACTTTTTTGACCATTTTGATGGTCAAGACAATCCCAGTAGAAGGCAGCACAGGCTTGCCAAGGACCACTGGCTTGGAGGAAGGCTAACGGGGTTCGGGTGCCGGCTCCTCCACTTTCTACGTGTGAACTTGAGAGGCTGTTTTCATCTGTGAGACACGGTGACAAAGCCATCCTGGGAGTTGTTGAGACTGGGCCCTGGATGCCTCGGGCCAGCCCAGAAGCAGCACCCGGGAAGTGGTAGGTGTGACATTAGCAAGTGCTGCCATGTGCTCTGGCACCAAGTGAGGCCCAGTCTCTGTGGAACATGAGGAGGTGGAGGCACCCCATTCCCAGGCTTCCTGCTTTTATCTGCACCCAGAATGAGACCACTCAGGGGAATGAATCCCTTCCTACTGGGTCCCCCAAGCACAGCGCCCCTTCCTCCACTAGGTGCTGGTTGACATTGAGCTGAGGCTGAATCAGACACAGCCAGGCCTGCCGGCTCTGCACAGCTCTGCCTAGCTCCCTGCGTGAAGCTCAAGCTCTGAGACCCAGGCTCAGGGTGTCTCCTGCCTCACTCAGGGACTTCCACATCAGGAAGTTACAGAGCCTCTCCCACACAAGTGCCGTCAGAAAGACCCACATCCTCCCTGGCTCCAGCATCACGACCATAGATGCCAGGATGTGAGAGCTAATGGCCTTCCTTCATCCAGCCTGCCAGGACATGAGTGCGTCCATAACGCTCTCCCTTGAGGCCTAGGGCTGGGGGTGAGCCCTGTGTTGACCTGGGCTGGTCCCTGGCTCCACCACTTCCTGGCTGGACTGACAGGTGAGTCCGTTCACCTCGCTGAGATTCCATTTCCTCAGGAGAACAAGAGTGCGGATCAGGGAGGTGAAGAATTAAACGAGGTGCCAGCTGCAGCAGGCCTGCTTTGCAGTGTGAATGCCACTTCCTTCCATGCTACGTCCCTTTGCTCACTCACCCAGAAGAAAGTGACTGGACTCTGACTCTATGCTGAGCTCTGCGGGGTACCAAGAGAAGGACGACTCAGTTGTCCCCACCTTTTTACTTCTCTCTACAAAAGAGAAACGCCCTAACTCCACAACTGTTGCACCGGTCACTCTGTGAGTCCCAAGCACTCTAGTTTTAGTGTCTGGTTCACAGAGCCTTCTATCTACCTCTAAAGTGCTTATTTTGTCACAAGCTCCTTGGAGACAGGGGTCCACCAGGCCCAAATCCACTTCAGCTTGCATGAAGGAACTTGCCTAAGCTCCTGGAACCTGTGCCACCTGCAGACTGAGGATCTTTCCAGAATCCAGGGAGACGGTGTGGAATGATGTGAGACCATACAACACGCTTTCACCATCCCATATCCACAGAATTGATGTGAAAAATTAACAGACATTCACATCAGAGTTGCCTCTTGCTGGGAGACATTCTCTGAGTGAGCCACACTCATATCTTGAGACCTTTGGGGCACTTCCCACCCTTGTCCCCTTGATAAACTTCTACTCATCCCTTCTGTGAAGGCTTCCCTGATCACCCTGCACTCAGTAGCTTCTTCCCTGAACCTCACAGCACTTGGCACAATGCTCTGTTCCTACTTCCCGGCAGTATATTTAATTCTCAGCTGCCACATCCACATCCTATGAGACTCTGCAACCACACCGAGGCCTGGTCTTTGCATCTCAGCCTCTCACGTGCCCCACTAAATACCTGACCCAAAGTAGGCGCTCTGTAAAGGTTGCTGAGCAAACACAGAAACAACCAAGTGAACCTGGGGTTTCTCCAGGGTGTTCACTCATCCAGCTGAGTGCCCACCACCTGCCAGGCACTGATGTGAAGTTCAGAGCAGGGCCAGTTAGTTACGAAACACTCTTTTATAGCCAAGTCCTTCTGAAAACCCTCTCACTCTTTTCAAAACAGCATCTCCATGCCTTGGTAAGGTGTGCAATCTGATTTCAGCTTCCCAGACAATTGCATCCTGTGTTCAGCAGTCAGTCTGTGAAAAGCCCAGCATCGATAGGTGGCTGTTAGAACCTGTCACTAACAGGAACACCCACATTGGCAAGAAATATGTGACCCAAGAGGCCCCGAGGAGGCCTCTCCTCACCCTGAATCAGTACTTCATGAAGGGGCCTTGGAAGACATGAGAGGTTAAGAAAATGCCAACTCTGGTCCCTATCTCCTTGCCATGGCATTTCTGAGCTATCTGTAGCTAAAATTCAATAGCTAACCCCCCTTGGGTCCTTCTCCATGAACACAAACCCTGAGCAGGGTGCACGAAGTTCCACGGCGGCCACCATGAAAAGGATATGACTCTCCAGCGGATGTCCAGCTTGCTGTTGATCTCCAGGCCTCGAGCTTCCTGCCTCTCTTCTTCCAGCTGCTTTGGATTTGCAAATTGTCCCTTCTCCCCAGGGGATTCTGGGAAATTCTCGAAGTTGAACTTGTCCACTTGAATCGCCATTCTAAGAGAAGGGGGGAAACACAGCAGAGAATTAATCAGTAGGGCAATTTCTTCTGCTGGCTGTTGGAGAATCAGCACATGCCAGCGTGAGACAGTATAATGAATCATTATCATTAGTAATTCATAACGGATTCATTCCAAGAAAATGAAATAATAGACTCCTAGGGTAGCACTGGCTTCAGAGCTGGTTCAACACCCAGTTTAGAACTGATGACACAGTCAGAGATTCCAACCTAGGAGAAGACTCGTGTACCCCACAAGGAAATTTAAATTCTGGAACAGAGCAAGGCATTCAGGACCCAATATGGAAAATCAGGGAGTACTGGCACTTATTTAAACCTAGGGACCTCAAAAGCACACTGGGAACTCCAGCCTCATCATCTGAGGCCTGCCTGTCATCTCATCCTCAGCCAGACAGACTTGCTCACACACGCCCCGCCCCACCAGCTGCACAGAATCCCCTCTGCCCACTGCCAGCCCCCTGCACTACAAGGACCCCACTTGTCTTTTGAGCTACTGCTCATCCTCCCTCCAGGTTTATGCTCAAGTACCACGTCGTTTACAAAGCCTCCTCGCACTGCTGGCTGTGTCCAGCCCTCTCAGCCTTCTGGCAGTTTCTAGAACACGCCAGGCTATTCCTGCCTTAGCCTTTGTGCTCACTGCTCCCTACTCGGGAGTATTCCTCGCCTGACCCTTGGCACAGCTGGAGTCCTTCATTCTTTAGGTTTGAGATAAAGAAAGGTTTTCGCAGGCCACGTCATCTACAGCAGCATTCCCTCTCACTCCCCTCGCCTTATTCTCCATGGCAGCATTCAATTTATTTCTGTGACAGCATTTATCATGAGCTGTAAATATTTATTTTTGGACTTAATTGTCTATCAGTCCTACCGGAATTTAGCTCCCTGAGGGTAGAGATCCTCTTGGTCTTGCTCACCATAGTCTCCCAGGCCTGGGAGAATGCCTGGCCTGCTGCAGTAACTGGATAGACAATTCACCGAAGAAATGAAAGAGGGAATTAAGAGCCTTCCCTGGTCCCCTGGCCAATGTTTACCTCTTCCCCTCACTGCCGCCCGCCCTCACACCTGTGTCCACGTGCGGCTGTGTCCCAGGTCCTGCAGCACCTGGTCTGCAGGCAGCACACAGCACAGGAGTCCAGGCGCTCTCAGCCCACTTCCACTTGCAATCACAACGGCCACACGGCAGGGGCTGCGTCTCGCTGCTATTTGAAACCACACCTCTTAGCACAAAATCAGGCATACAGTAGGTACTCAGTTAAGGTGTGTCACGTGAATGGAGGAGGGAGAGGAGGAGGAAGGGGGGTTTCTTCATGTCAGGCCCTTGAAGTTCTGGCTCCAACTGAAAGATGACTGAGAGTCAATCAGTCAAAGCACAAAAATAGGCGTTTTGTATTATCCCAGACTGTGCTGTGGCCAAAATATTCAGCCAAACCCAGCATGCTCCAACCGGCCTTTGGGGCTGTTCCATTTACCAACGAGGAGACAACAGGGAGTGGTAGTCAGTGTGGTATAAACACAAGATTAAACCCAAAGAAGAGGACTTGATACCACGACAGCTTGGAAAGAACCACCAGAGTGTCTATAAACCTACAGCATGTCTAGGGCTCAGCCACCCAAGAGTTAGAGATGTTCCTGTGTGGGCACAGAAAACAGTGCATTTCCTAGCAAGAACTATGGTTAAAAACTACATTTACTGCTGTTTTCTGATTATAAAAGTAGATAGCCTTACTGAAAAAAGTTGGAAAATAGAGAAAAGCATAAAAAAGAAAAAAAGCCTTTAGAATCTTATACTCTTATTTTAAGATCTTAATTCTATAGTCTTTTTTCTAAGTATTTTAATGTAGTTTAAATCATTATATATGTATAGGTATAAATTATATAAGTATCATTTTATACATACATATACACAAAAATATACACATAATTTTAAGACTTGTTTTATTTTCTTAACACACTATCAACGTTTTCACATCATTAAAAATTAGTCTACAAAATAATCATATGGCTGTATCATAATTTAACAATTCCCCTATTTGTCATACTCTCATTTTCCATTTTTTAAAAAATTACTATTGAAAAAATCATAACAAACACCTTTGTGCTTAGATTTTTTGACTGCATGTACAACTGCCCAATAAGACCCAATTCTAAAAGTGGAATTACTGATCCGAGAGTGTGAAAACGTTTAAGGCTCAGAGGCAGAGCACCACATTCTTCCTCAGAAAGGTTCTGACCTGGTATGCACCCCAAGCAGCATGGGTGGGTGCCCCCGTCTCTGCACCCTTGCCAATGCTGGCGATGATCAGTTTTTAATCTTTGCTAGTTAAGAGGCAAAATGCTACCTCACTGATGTTTTAATTGGCAGGTCTGAATTACTCCCGAGGTTGAGCATTTTTTCCAGAGCTTATTAGCCATTTATCTTTCTCCCCTGCGAGTTGTCTACACGCGCAGCAAGAGTGCTTCTAATTTCGCCCCCAGCAGAGGCTCCTCCTATTGCCCCGCTTTGAAGACAGACTGAAGCAAACTAGTGCTCTCGTCACACAAAAGGTCAGAATACTTCCTAAGTTTCACTAAAAACGCCAATTTCAGTTCATCATCTGATAACGCAAAAGGAACTAGTGATTTCCACCTCTCAAGTGGGTTTGGACACAGTCCTAACGCCCGGCTCTTCCTGTTGAACACAGAAGCGGGGAGACCGCCGGGCCCTCAGCATCCTTCCTGTCAGCACACACACTGGATGCTGTGGCCGCTGCGATTATATTTGTGTGATTATCTGGGGGCCTCTTTCGAACAAATTCTGACTGAATAAACATCATATACATCACCCACCTCCATCCTTAACAAAACTGTAGCCAGGTGCACCCACAAAACAGGAGAGGGAAAAAAATGATATATAACGAAGCCTTCCTACATGCCAAGCCCTGGGCGAGGTAATTTATACATACATTCATCTTATTTATTACCACAGGCCTAAGGATGAGTGTGACTTGCTTCCTTGTACAGATGTGCTGAAGCTCCGTGAGCGTCAGCCACCCGGCAGCCCCAGCAGGAGTCTGTTGCTCAGACTCAGTGCTGCTCTGTTTTGTTTTTTGCTTTACTTGGCTCTCCCTCGCTTAGGCAGAGTACCTAAAAGATTATTCTTTGCACATGCTGTTGCAGAGCCGGCATGGGACACAGACCCGGTGACTGCACAGCCTGCTGTACACAGGCCTGCTGCCCACATGAACAACCAACCACTTCCCAAATTTACAACAGCCCTCCTCCTGCAGCAGCCCTGGGACATGCAATGCCAGCGAGTGTCCCAAAGGCAGTCTCTCTCCTTTCCCGCAGATGATAAAACCGAGGTACCAAGAAGTTGAGTAATTCACCTAAGTCACCTAGCTTAAAATTCTGGAGCCAGGACAGCAACTCCAGGAGCTGAGGATTATTCCCCTAAACCACAGAGGAGCACTGCCAGCCTCCACCTCTCTATCTACGTGGTCCCGGAGCACAGCCCCAAAGCCTCGCCACCCTCCTCCTCCTCCCACCACCAGGAAGGGATGGCAGGTGCGACTGGTAACCCGTTTTCCTAGAGCTGAGTCTTCATACGTGAACTCTCCACCCACAGTGACACGCCACATTCCGTAAAACAGTACTAAGGGCCGATACTGTTGTTGGGTGGGGGTGCCAGGGTGCCTTGGGGGGTAGTCTTGCTTTGAATCCAACTGCAGAAGTGGCAGGACTTGAATGAAGACTGAAGCCATCACGTTTTGAGGCTGTCACTTTCATCACGAAGCCACCCTGACTCAGGACAGCAGTGCTCCCTGGTGATGGCAGCAGCTTGAGAGACGTGCACAGACAGTCCATCACAAACTGGCTGCCTGAAGTTCGCCGTGGAAGAGGCATCTGGGCTGAGAAGGCCCCACACTCGTCAGAATTGCTCATGGAGAAATGACGTGGCAGTGTTGGAGATCCAGGCATTGAAAGGAGAAGGAGAAATCCAGAGCCACTGAGGGGAGGGAGGGTGAGACCATCTACTGCAATCTCCCCCAAAGGGGAAGGAACTGAGGCCCCGGAGGACAGCACCTCCTCCATCTCAGTGGGCACTGAGGCGGCAGGAGGCAAAGAGGAGGCAGCTCTGGCTTTGGAGCCGACCACCTGGGCTGGACTCCCAGCTCTGCCCCGACTTGAACACGACCTTGGGCACGGCCCTCCATTTCTTTGAGCATCTCTCTGAAATGCGGTCAGTGGTACCCGCACCTAGAAGGATGGCTGAGAGGATTCAAACACTCTCCTTCAGTGCCAGGAAATGGTGGCCGCCACAGTCAGCCCACACGTAATGATCGGCTTGGTGCCCTGGATGACTTTATACCTATTTTCTCAATTAGCAAGCAATTTTTTATAACAATAATGAAGTAGCAAAATCTCAACACTGAATTAAATCTCCAATACTCTCCCCCTGCCTCGTGCAGCCTCCTGCAGCTGCCTGCTGATCATAACTTCGTGGGCACGGCCCTCTTCGCTCTGGGCTTAAGCTTGTACCCTCGAGATCTTTTACTGGGGGTGAGGCAACATGGATCAGAGAATATCTGTGCAATCCCCACTAGAAAGTGTCCCAGAAGTAATTCATAACTGTGGCCGATCCTCCGGCAAATCACAGCAAAATTGGAAAACATCCTCTTTGGAAATAATGCAGAAAAGGAGGGAGAGTGAGCGAGCGCAGACCAAGGGCGAATGCACCTGCCTTCTCTGCGGCCACCATGAGTGTTGGTGGCAGTGTCTTTGGGGCGGCTTCTGGAGGAGCGGCAGCACTGGGCCTCTGACCAGGGGTAGTGCCGTCACAGAAACAGCTCTTTTGGGGAATGCCTTTTTGCCAGAATGGCTTTGTTGTTCTTACTGTTTGTCTCTACTTTTCTTTAATCAAGTAAGGGCATTACTCTGAGCATAAGGGCATATTATCTGCCGTCAGTGGCTGGCCTGGGGCGAGAACTCAGTCTCTGGGCTC